GGATGCACCCATTCACAACAGGATTTCTTTAATTTCCTCACTCCCAACATCCTACCGCTAGATATGCTTTTCAGATCTTGCTCTGAATTGCTATCAGAATTCAAGCAAGCAATCTATGCTTCAGCTTCTAATAATGCTGCTTTCCTCTTTGGTTATGTAAAGGGCAGATGAGTATTGATAAGGTATCTTTCCAGATTTCAGGACATTCCAAAGCATTGTACAACAACTAAAGTACAATTGAATACTGTTCTGTAATCTAATAAGTATCTACAGCAAGATTTCCCAGACAGAAATGTGCTAATGATGTGGTATTTTCTTTTAGCAAGGTTAGTCAAGGGATAAACATTAGTCTGGACACTGGGTAGAACTTCTCTGCTCGCCTTCAAAATAGCACAAATATATCTTGTACATCAATCTGAGCAGCAATGGAGCATCTCAAATAGTGCAGGACTCAGAACTACAATGAAGTCAGTCAAGCACAGCAATATAGCAATAAAACATTTGCCATGAAATCTACAGCTTTCTATCATTATTGTCATGATCTTAGTTTTTTAAATCGTCTAGCCCAGGCAAGACAGAATTATCTGCAGTAGTTTACAGATTAAAGGCATCAAGGGGTGTGGGGATAAAGTGGGAATATAGCATTGAGATAGCGCCATGATCATAGTGGATGACTGATGAAAGGTTCAAAAGGGCTAAATCTCCTATTCTTGCTCCTAATCCCTGTGTTCTTTGTGCATTCACAAGTTTAAAACTTAAACTATGTTTTGGACATACATTTTCTAAAACTAACTGTGATATCAAGGTAAAAATAGGCTCAAAATTCTAACAGCAATAAATATACCCAGTACTTTAGTCGAAAATGAAGGCAAAAGTTGCTCATCATTTCAATCGTACATTGGATGCAAAAAGCAGCAATGCAATGAGCCATGAAACAGGAGTTAAAAGACAAACTGGTACATCCCCAAGTGAACTAATGAAAAACACTCAACACAGTTAATCATTTATAGTATCTACACGTTACTGAGTGATTTACTGCGTACGAAGATAACAAAATAACACTGGAAATAAAGTCCACCACAACATAATTATTCAAAAATGTCCTTTTAACGTATGCCATTGCAGCATCCATTTGAATTTTTACCTCCACTGCACCAAAGTTCTTCTATGCAAAGAACTTCTTTGCGTCAACAATTCTAGACTTGCACATTTTACTACTTCGAATCTGTGGCTCCACTGCCCTATCCCTACAATTTTATTCTAATTTTTTATGATATCAACAAAATTGATAAAGCAGAGCCAATATAACAAAGCATACTTAAATTCTAAGAAGGCTTTTGCTAAGATCCTGACAAAAAGCTGGTTAGAAAGTATAAACACATGGAACAGTAGGCAATGTACTGGCTTGGTGGAGAAATTAGCTACAGATTGAAAACAGAGTCAGATTGAATGGATCCTTCTCAGAGTGGCAGGTTGCGATCAGTTGGGTACTGCAATTGATCAGTCCTTGGATTCCAGCTTTTCACTGTACATATCAATGATCTGGAGGTAGTGGTTAGGTGTAATATTTCCAAATTTGTAGAATGATACAAAGCTAAGCAGGAATGTGTGCCATGAAGATATAAAGTGGCTTCAGAAGGATTTGGACAGATTTAGTGAATGGGCAAGAATATGACAGATGGAATATAATGCCAAAAATCTACTTTAGTAACAGACATGCAGAGTATTCTCCCCGTGTCTCCGGGTTCCAGTTTCCTCCCACAGTCCAAAGATGTGCAGGCTAGGTGGACTGGCCATGCTAAATTGCCTGTAGTGTTCAGGGATAAGTAGATGGCGGGGGGTAGGATAGGGGGATGGGTTCTGGGTGGGATGCTCTGACAGTCGGAGTGGACTTGTTGGGCTGAAGGGCCTGTTTGACACTGTAGGGATTCTATGATAAAATTTTCTTCAATAAGAAGTTGTAAAATATAGATGCGCAAAGGGAACTAGATACCCTTGTCAATACTTTATTGAAGGCTAATATGCAGGTGCAGCAAGCCATTAAGAAAGCTAATGGAATGTTAGTGTTTACTGCAAGAGGAAGAGTGCAGGAATGATGCAGACTTGTTCAATTGTATTAGAGCTTGGTTAGACCCAACCTGGAGTACTGTGTCCAATTTTGGTCTAGTTATCTCAGGAAAGATACAATTGCAATTAAGGGAGTGCAACAAATGTTCATCAGGTTTATTCCTAGGATGGCAGGACAGTCCGATGAGGAGAGATCGGGCAAACTGGGCCTGTATTGTGTAGTTTCAAAGGATGGGAGGTGAGGTCATTGAAACATGCAAAATATTTAAGAGGGATAAAATGGGTGAATACATGAAAAATGCTTTCCCTGGTTGGAGAGTCAAAAACCAGGAGGCATAATTTTAAAATGAAGGGGATGCTACTACAGTCCAATAAGAGGAGGAAATATTTTATTCAGAGGGTTGTGAACCTTTGGAATTCTCCACCTGAGAACTGCGGAAGCTCAGCCTTTAAGTAATATTAACATAGATATTACTAGATTTCTGATTACTAGTATTGTACAGGAATATGGGGATAGGATAACTAAAAGGCATTAAAGATTTCAATCAATCACGACCAGACTGACTAACAGGACAGGCTTAACAGGCTGAAAGGCCTACATCTGTTCCAATGTATTTTTTCCATACCATTGGTATAAACCTCAATACGAACACGTGATGATAGCTACTTTGAAAACTGACATCAACTAAATTCACTAAACTGATGTCTCACCCAACATCTCTGACTCAAGGGTCAGCCTTATCATCTCCTTCATATTGCCTCAAGCAATTGTACAGTACAACCTGACTGTAAAGCATGCAAGACACATTTTACTGCACCTTGGTACACATTACATTAATAAATCAGATCAAATCAACTGAATGTTTCCCATGTTTGAGTCATCAAACCTAGACACAGATTAAAGGTGTGAGCTGACGGGAGT